CTAATTTTTTAGACTTAAACGTTGATTAAAACCATAGATTGAGAGTTTATATTTAGTAAAATTCCTAATTGTAATAAAAAAATTAATTTTTGCTATATTTTAGAATATCTTTAAATTCATTATAAAAAGAAAAGAAAAAAAAAACTACAATGAAAAAAGCAAGTCAGCTATATATCGATTTGTTGTACTCCTCAAATCACATTCACAATTTGGCTACAAGGAAAGGAAACTCATTGATTAAATATTATTTTGTTACTAGTCTTAATGTACAAGAGACTTTATGACTCCACTTGAATATTATAAAACTTTTATTGAACATTGTACAATTTTCTTGTGTATTATAAACTTTTAGTGAATATTGCATCTTATAATATAATATTCTCCAAATAAATATATCTCGTGCTTCGCACGGGTCACGTACTATATATATCCCGTACATTTTTTTTTATTCATGTATATAACTATAAGCCTAGATAAATGGCCTTAAAATTGTGCACCTCGTGCATCGCACGAGCTCTGTACTAGTCTATATAAAATAACATCAACCTGTGGAGGATTTTTTAAAACACCAAATATGTGCACTAAAATTGGATCAGTTGTGATTCTCGAGACAGTGAAAGCTCCGTTGTACAACCCTAATTGACCCTTGTTCTTTCCAACCTTGAACAAAAGGTCTTTGAACATCAAATTCTCCAGATCCGGCGGCAAATCTGACCCGTCTTCATGCTGCCGTTATGAAAATAAAAAAATAATATATTATTGATAATGTTAAAACTAAATACTCTTTAACATAAAATAAAAATAAATTTATAGTATATTATTATCCAAACCTTCAACATCTCTATAACAACTCTTCACATGACAGTCCAATTAGTTCTCTTGCTACTTTGTCCCAACAAAGAACTCGAATTACTCCGGTATCGTCAAAAATTGTTAAGTGCAATTTGTACCTAAAAAATGTGTAAATTAAATTCTAAAAATGTATAGTATAATAAAAGCAACAAATGATTAATTACTTATTATGAATGTATGCATACCGAATAATTGAAAGGGGTATTTCATCTTCGCAATTGTTGCACCAAAATTTTTTCCCTTTTTGTTCGACCTTTCTAATACATGTCGGGCAAGAGTTGAAAAACCAATTACCGTCAACTTCAAGAATTGTGCCATAAATCCAAAACACATTTTCCTAAAAAAAATTGAACAACAAAAAAATATTATACGCTTGACATTATGTGTTACGTATATTTAATAAAAAAATCCAAAGTTTGTACATGGTTACCTCTTCTAAAGCATTAAATTCAGCAAGACTTCTCATTGGAGCCAATCCGGACTGCAAATCATCACATACGCTTGACATGAATGATTTAACATATCCCATTGATGATTCGGTTGGGCGTTTGTGGGAGATATACCTTAAGTAAACAAAAAAGAAAAAAAAAATAAGATAAAAAACATAAATCAAATAAATGATTTGTTTTTAATCTCTTAAAATTAATCACCTCTCTTTGAATTCTATAATCTCGGGTAGATCACATTGAGAAATCATCTTCGTTGCATCATAGGCGTTTGCAATTCTCACAGAGCCTAAAAAAAAAGTCATTAATATTATTATAATATAAATGTACAGAAAAATAATTGAAACATTAATAATTAATTAGATATTTACCATCATGCATCTCTTTTGCTCGGCACATTTGAATGATTACAATTTTGACAGTGGATGTCAAAGGATTCTTGAATGCCTCGAGTAAAACATCAACATAATCTTCCCATAAGGTGCAAACTAACTGGCAACCTCTATATAAATCACAATAGAAAAAATAAATAAGATTAGAAAAGTATCTACATCTTGAAAATTTATATTAGTATAGGAATAATTTAGACTTACCCAATATCTTCAAGAAGAACATCTATATATCTCTTTTGGCGAAAAGACACATATATACCCTTTGAAACAAACTTTTCCACAATGACGATCATTTGAGAACAATTCTAGTTTATGTCCACGTTTCTTTTCTAGTTTAAATCCATTTGATAACAATTCCAGTTTATGTCTCCGTTTCTTTTCTTGTTTGCCTTTGAAAAAAAAAAAAATGCATATCGTTTTCTTCAATAATTCTTTTAGATTGTTTTCAATTTATTTTAAGTTTATGTATTGGATTGTTTTTAGTTTATTCTAAGTTTATTACATGATATCAAAAATTTATTTAAAACTAATTTGAAACTTTTAATTTATCTTAAGTTTATTATCTATTTTTTACTAAATCACGAAAAAATAAATAAATAAAATAATCGAGTGTAAAAAAAAACTGAATATAAACTAAAAATAAGAATAAAAAAACGAGTTTATTGTAATCAAGTTTATTATCTAGTTTTTGCTAAATCACGAAAAAATAAATGCAAAAAAAAAAAAAAGCACTTAATAAACGTAATCAAATCATCATAAACATCAAATTAACTCTCAAAATCCTTCAAAAACACAAATATATTCGCCTTGTACTCACCCAGAATCAAGATCCGATCAAAATTTCAGTCATGGGCAATAATTTCAAAGTCTCTTTCAAATACCAAACAAAAATTGAACATAAATTAAAAACAAATCCCAACAATTCATAGATCCAAAGATCAATCAAGGAAATTTCTACAAAAAAAAAAAAATAAAAAAAATACACACACACACACAAAACAAAAAACCAAATTTTGCTAAACCCTAAATTAGCAAACCACAAATTTGATCTCAAGGCGGTTACATGTTGGATCCTCAAAGCGGCGGGCGACACGACAGAAGGAGGAAGGAGTTGGACATGGAGTAGATCTTGAATCGAAGGTGATGTTGGCGACGGTTCAGATGCTCTAAGGATGCAAATCTCCCGCCAGTGGTGCGTGGCGAAGGCGGAGAAGCTCTTGTGACGTTGGATCTGTTGACGATGGGCGTGTTTGGTTTTCTTTGACTCGGCCAGAAACAAATGGGTTGGGGGAGGAACATATGTATTTTTTAATGGTGATAATGATGGAATTGAGATAAATATTATCTCGTTTTAATGGATAGGAAAAGTTAGATTGGCCAATAAAAATGTTTTATCGCTCATTAGGAAGCAAAAACTTAAGGCACCGTACGGTAGGTAATTATCTCATCTCTTTTCAACACCCGCTGAAATTGCTGTTTGTACACTTTGATAGTAAACAACTCGATCAATGACATCTACAATTCAATAGGCAATGATCGATTATAAAAAGTATAATATAAAAAATGTAATTATATAAATTTTGAAACTATATTAAAATTACCGATAAGCCTTGATGAGTCGATGCATGCTGGATCGCATAAATCACTGAAGTCCTTGAAATTGAACATGAATCGAGGGTAGTCTTCATAAAAAATCTCCTTAATTTCAGTGTGTTCATCAAACACCAGCTTGTCATTTTTTGGAGTAGTCTTGTACATGTAACAATCGACTTCCACCCTGAAATGCTTTATCCCAAAGATACTCCCTTCGCCATTTATGCACACTTCAAAATTTGTTGCTAAGCTGTCGGGTGCGGAGGCATGAATGCGTTCGCCCTATACACAGAAAATTAAAAATTTATGGACTGAAGTATAAGAAAATGAAATGAAAAATTGAATATATGTAGAAAAAATATAAAAACCTTGACATCATGAAAAACAAACTCTAGGCTTGATCCTTTTTTTTTGGATAAAAACGAATCAATCTCAAAATGACTGTTTTGTTCTTGTTCTTTGCAAGAAAAGTAAGATTATCAAAATAAGTAGCCATTTAGAAATTAGAGAGTATTTGTGAGAGTATTTCAAAGAATATTTCTGAAGTGATGGTGCTTACAAATTGAACAAAATGGTACTGTATTTATAGGGGGAAAAAACGAAAATTAATTTCCATGATTGTTGTTGGAAAATTGTTGTGTATATTGTATTCAATCAAAATTATTAAATTACACCAATTTCATGATTAATGAGTGTATAATTGTGTATATTCTTCAGTAAAACATCAAATTCCATGATTGATGCTCACCAAAAATTGAACCTGATTTTTTAACCGTGTGTATTACACCCCCCCTCCCCCCCTCACCCCCAACAAACGAATGTGAATATGCATTTTTATTAATTTTATAATTAATTTGACATTGACTGTTGTAATTTCATAATTACTTTTTTTATATGTCTATATATATTGCCTGAGTTTATAAGAGATTATGTTCCTATAGGGCTAAATTGTTCATTTTTATTTATGTAATATAAATTAATTCATATCATTAGTTTTATAATTATTAATGTATTTTCTTTTTCTGTGTTGCAGGCATAATTCATAACAAAGGCAGTGGAATGTTAAATTTTTTTATTATTGGATGTTAATTTGGTATGTAATTTAAGTTTTGTGTATTGAGTAATTATAAATTTTAGGAATTAGTAATCGTTTTCTATTTTCGACAAAAATTATGTTTAAATGCAAATCATGTAACTCCCTACTTGGATACAAAAAATTCGATTTTGGGGGGAAAATACAGTAACAAAAAATACATTTTCTCAATTAAAACGTACAAAAACCTCCTTCAATACAGAATCCTTACAATTCTGATTATAAGAAGCTAATTAAAGCAGAATAAATAATTCATTTGTAACCGATTTTGGGGGGAAAATGTGGGTAGTGCCAGCTAGGTAAAATTTATTAGGTTTTATTTATGAGGTAAAATTAATTGATTAACTACCAATTATATATATATAGATATAGATAGTTATTCGATTCATATAATTAATTTTATCATATATCAATTACTGGATGTTATTGATTTAGTTGGAAACACTTATTCTATAAATAATATATAATTTTTTATATTTTGTATTTTTTTTTTGTAATAACTAGATGTTAAATATAAATAATTATGTTTAAAATAAAACTTTAATAAAGATTTTAAGTAACAAATTAACAATCCACGGATGCGCAATAGTTGAGATAATTTGTGCTTCTTGGTAGTTGACCTGAACATTATTTCACCACACGCTGACATATTTGAGCTATATGGCTGCACGAGGCGACCAAAAAGGGTCGCATAAGTTTTCTTACAGTCGTCGCTGACTTTGGACGACTCGCGGTAACTGGCAACTTCACTTTCCACCATTATTTCACAACACGCTATATTTGAACTACGACTACGAGGTGAACAATAGGTCGCCCCGTTTTCTAACAGTCGTAGTTGTCTTTGTACAATTACTCCTTCTAGCTGCTCTATTGGATCGATGAAATGCAGGTTTACTTTCTGGTCTCTACTCTATTTTCAATTGAATAATTTCAGAAGTTGCGTAATTTTGTGAAATTCTGATTGGGAGATGGGTGTTGATACGAAAACCCTAATTTTGGATCTTGCTCAATTGGGGTTTTCAGAGTAGTCGAATCGTGAGTTATTATGATAGTAACTGATGTGCTGACTCGCTCTTTGATATACTGCTTCTCTACTTAATTTTTCGAATTCACTGCAGATTCGTTGTTTCAATTATGGGTATAATATATGTTTTCACATATATCAACTTCAGTTGGTTTTATGATAATCTTCATTTCTTTATTTTATAATTGTGGTTCAGTGATGCAAACTGATACGATGCATTTCTAGTTCTGTTACTTCTGTATATATGATTTGGTCTCTGGTAGTTGAATCTTAGTACGTTTTATACCTTTTTTTTTTGGTGCAAGTGTTTTACATGTAACTGGTCCTTTGGAGTTGGAGCAGAGTTTAAACCTGCTGTTCATTTCATTTTTTTTAGCTACCAATTTATATGATTGCTGATGGTCCTGCTTATCATTATTGAATTTTCTAGTGTGTGGCTGTTAAGTAGCGGACAAGTTTTTTAAGGGGAGATGACTATAGATATGAGATTTTGACCTGAATCATGGCTTCAACTACTAGATTTGAGTTGACATCGACCAGCCCTGAGGCCAGTTTTGCAGGAAATTACCAAAATGGGCAAAGGGGATACTCTACTCCCACTTTGGATAGATCAACAAGTTTCAGAGACAGTGCAGAGATCAAGAATTTTGCTTCTGGAAAGGCAAATTCTAGAGGAAGTGTTTCGACTTCCGGAGATGTGACTACATTATCTCAATGGCTAATGTTGGAGCCAATTGTTATTGGTGATCAAAAGCATGCGCGGTCTGGGGACTTAAGGAGGGTTCTTGGCGTTTCTATTGGGAGCACTTCAGAAGACAACCCTTTTGGTGCTGTTCACCTTAAGAATTCATCTCCTGGGGCGGTGGATGAATTGAAGCGATTAAGAGCTAGTGTTGCTGATACTTGTGTTAAAGCAAGGTACTTTTTATCTGTCTCTAGTTGGTCTCTTCAGAAATGTGCCTGGTTCTGGAGCTTTGCCTCAATGCCTGTAGAGTTGTTATACTTGCATATTTACCTTTTCTGGTTGTGCTGATTATTATCCTTATGAACATTGTTACCTAGATGCAAATTCCCACTTTCCTTAATTAATTAATTTATCCTTATGAACTGTGCTATATATATGTTATGCTCCACAGCCTTGGTTGACTAATATGTGACAATTATACTCATGTGAAATTGGTGAATCCCGCCCTTTCAATTGAGATTCTGAGTGTTGTTACTCACTTTCATGATAACTTGATATTTTGCACCTGTGTGGTGGTTCTATGTTTGAAACTTGCTCTGTCTTATTTATTATTTAAAAATCCAGAGTACATTTTTCTTGTTCTATACTTCTATTTTTTAATTCAAATTCGTTTCAGTTTCTGCTTGTTTCCACAAAACTTAAAACATTTAGTCCTAGTTCAATATTATCAATCATTACGTATATAACCCAACTGAAATACAATAGTGAGACCAATACAACTATCAATGTCAATATTTTTTACTATTTTGATTTTTTTTTTTATCAATTTATTTGGAACACTTATAAATCTTACAAACTAATAGTTTACTAAAAGTGAAATAGTGAATACAAGACACAATCAGTCATCACTATTAAGTTAGTAAACAGTACGTGATCATTTCGAAAATAGTACTGTAATGCATGGTAACAAACTTATTTCTTACTGTAACATAACCGGAATTTATTTCAGCGATGTTGTCATTTCCAAATAAATTTCATTGTTGTTCCATCATCTAACAAAATTTTATATAGAGGTTTCAACATGAAAACCAGTGCCAAAATAAATTCTCAGTTGAAGTGGCTTGAAATAAGAATCACTCTTGAGTGGTCTGAAATTTTATAATCTTCCTTTGGCCAGTGGTAGAGCAAAGAAGTTGGACGATCATTTGAATAAGTTGAACAAATATGTTGAGGTGTCCTCTAAGAAGCAGCAGCAAAGGAATGAGATGCTAGCAAATGAACGATCTAGTGGTTCGATCTTGAAGATTGGATCTCTGATACATCGAAATACTACTGAATTTGGAAGTCAAAAATTTGATGAGAGGCCTAAGAATGGTGGATTGAATAAGCGCTTACGGACATCAGTTGCTGATAATCGGGTTTGTAACTGGATTATTGTTATTGGTTTTATTTATTTAGTTTCTTAGAATTGCTGACTCTAAGATAACTTCTTTCCTATTTGACAAATAAAGAATAATTGCAGTTGCATTACTTGTTTGGTTTTATTGTTCAGATTGCTTAATTTCTTGAGTTTAGTTACATCATCAGGATGGCCATGAGAAAGACTGAATTTTTTCATAACTTGAAATACCAAAGCACCTCATATCTTTTACTTGGTGGGTTCCATATATGACATATGCAGTCTACTAATATTCAGGATCATGGACTAGAGATAGCATAATATCTGGCGAAATCGTTGAAGCCTTTCTTACTTGAGCAATCTACTTAAAAGCTTATAAGTTTATGTACATTGTATACCATAAACATTAGTCCCAATGGGCATCTGTGATTGTGTATTTGGCCTAGTATATTAGACACAGGTAATGACCCATCATGTGTCCTCATATCTGGGGAGTAACTTCGATGAGGTTTCATTCAATCCATTTACTATTGTAAATTTATTATTTTTTCCCCTCCAATTTCAGGCAGAATGTAAGGTCGGTGGAGCATCGCGGCAGCCTATGTCAATGGCAAGAGAGAGAGACATGCTCAAAGATAGCAATGCAGATTCTGATACTGTTGAGGGTAAAATAAAGAGATTACCTGCTGGTGGAGAAGGCTGGGACAAGAAAATGAAAAGGAAACGCTCAGTTGGTGCCGCCTTCTCTAGATCTATTGATAATGACGGGGAACTAAAAAGAACAATGCATCATAAGCTCCCTGGTGAATCTAGCCTGCAATCCGGTGATTCCACCCCCAGCATCAGGTCAGTATCTATTATAAACCAATGTTTATATGCTTTTAGCAATTGTGCTTCTGTTTAATGTAGTTTTTGGTTTCTATGTTATGTTGTTTACATATGCTATTATTGAAGATTTTTTGAGACTTATATTGTATTCATTATCAGTTAATTTATTGGATTTATTCCGTTATAGAATGATTCTTCCCTTGGATATGAGACAGGTCTCATTTGAAATGAACTCATATGATTTTAATTTTTGTTGCACACTGTCCGTGCCTTTTGTCACTGTGTTTGTGACTAATGAGTAATGTTTGCTTTCAGAAGCACTATCTCAAACCATGATGTAGGGAAGTTAGCTTTCTCTATGTATGTATTGTTATTTGTTGTTTTCATATTCACGTGGCGAGGCCAAATTGTCTTTTCTATGAATTGTTGAATCAGTCATGGTTTTATTTAGCTTGTTATTTTTTGAGTTTATGCAGAGTTCACTATGAGAAACTCCAGATTGACTTTGAATGAGAGACTCCAGATTGACTTTGATTTCAACTTAATGAGGCTTGGTTACTCTTTGAAACACACAGGTCAGGTGCTTCTGGCAGCAGCAGCAAATTAGATCCAGCTTCATCTCCTGCCAGTTCAAGTGCTCGTACAACCCTCAAAGGTGAACAAGAAAAATCCATGCTCTCAAGGGATCTCTCTCCAGGACCAATGAAGGAGCGAACCTTAGGGAAACTAAATGTTAGGTAAACGTTTGTATGATTCTAAAGGTCACTAGCATGTTGTTTTTTCTTCATACCTCTCTTTTGCACATCTTTCAACTGCTCTCGATATTTGGAGTTTCCTCCTCCTCCTGGCTTTGCTTCTGATGTTTCAGTGATCCTTTATTTAGGATGGGAAATCGTGAGGGCAATAGTGCCATGTGTCCTAGTCCAATATTAAAAGGGAAGGCCTCAAGGGCACCACGGAACGGTTCTATGGTTTCAGCTAGTTCAGCTTCAAACGTATCTCGTGTATCTGGGACTTTGGAGAGCTGGGAACAGCTGCAAGCAGTAAATAAAACCTCAACCATAGGTGGGGCTAACAATCGAAAGCGTACAATACCTGGTGGATCGTCATCCCCACCCATCACTCAATGGGTGGGTCAGAGGCCACAGAAGATCTCACGAACCAGGAGAACGAATCTAATCCCTGTATCAAACCATGATGATGTCCAGATGCAATCTGAAGGATGCTCACCATCAGATTTTAGCCCCCGGTTAAGCAGTTTTACCAATGCCGCTCATTCCATCAAGGGTTCTGCCAGTGAAAACATCAATTTTAAAGGAAGATCTGAAAATGCCTCGTCTCCTGCAAGGTTGTCAGAAAGTGAAGAATCAGGTGGTGGTGAAATTAGAATAAAGGAAAAAGGATTAGGAAGTGGTGATGGGGAGGAGAAGGATGCAAATGCTACCCAGAATGTTGGGCCAACTGCAATTCCCGTGAAAAAGAATAAAATTATGGTTAAAGAAGAAAGTGGTGATGGTGTGAGGAGACAAGGGCGCAGTGGGAGGATGTCACCATTTTCTAGGACTAGCCCTTCACCGACGAGAGAGAAAATGGATAATGAAGGGACACCTAAACCTCAACGGAATGCAAGGTCTTCTGAAAAGAATGGAAGGTGCTTCAGAGTTTCGTTGTGTGACTTTAGCCATTATTTATTTATTTTGTATGTTCCTTTGTTTTTTGTCGCTTCATCTTTCTAATGAAAAGCTTTTTTCCTTTTTTTTTTGTTTTTTTCTTTCTGTTCATTGCAGTAAGTCTGGTCGTCCTCTGAAGAAGCTCTCGGATCGCAAAGGATTTTCTCGTCTTGGTCACATTGCCAATGGTGGCTCCCCTGATTGTAGTGGTATACCTTGACATATTGCATTTTTTGTGTTATTCTGTGTACATAACTTAGTCCTTTCTTTCAACACAAATGAGGAGGAGCAGGTTAGCTTTTGATGATTCTAGAAGTTGATTGTCTGAGTGGTCTGGTCTACATGGCACATGCTACTCTGACTATCGATTTCTTTTTAGTTTGCAGCCTATTATTTGGAACTTGTTTGACGGCCCGCTTATTTTATCTCCTGTCATCCAACAACTATTAGTCACATAAATCACATTTGCCTAAGATTTCCCTTCTTCTTAACTTTTAGGTTGCAGTTGGATATAGTTTTTTTTTCTTGTTTTTTTGAATAACTTTGTCTTGTTGGAAAGTAGAGATGGAAAAGTGGAAGACAATTGTTTTTAGGAGAATTGAAATAAAATTGAGATTGTGAATGGATTTAAGAGAAAAATTTAATGATTAGAGATGATATGATATGCAAATAATAATATATTAATTAATAATGATTGATAGTTAGAAATGTGCGGGTGAGTGAATTTTTTTGGATGTTGGAAACTATATGATAATGCTTGACCTATATTTTTTATATGTTCATGGGATTGTGGAGAAAAACATAAAAGAGATGAAATGAATAGTAAGATTTTTTTGTTTCCTTTTCAAACTTCAATGAGATAAATCTTGTTTAACCAGACCAAAGTGGACATTTATAATATACTATCGCCACCTTAAGGTGAACAACAGTGTTTTGTCTCCTTAGATAGTAATCAATTTTAGACTTCTATGTCCCCCCCATTTCAACTTTAGCTTTTAATGAATCACTAGATTTAGTGTATTGATTAATTCATCCCATAGGGAATTGGAGTTCGAAATGCTCAACCCAAAAGGGTTGATAAGATGGTAAAAGGATACATCTCATTGTCAAATAGATCCCTGACAGAGGGAAAAAAAAGGGTCAGAAAAATCTGCTTATGGTAGTTAAATTTGTTTTTATTGAAGTTGGTTAATGAGTTACTACTTTTCAGGTGAATCTGAGGACGACCGCGAGGAGCTCATAACGGCTGCTAACCTTGCTTTCCATGCTAGTTGTATGTGTTCGGAACCCAATGATCATGTTTACTGGAGATATTTCAGATATGCTGATTGTGTAATGTTCAATTTTGTATGCTATGCAGTTAATGCTTGTTCGGGTGCATTCTGGAAAACAGTAGAGCCCTTGTTTGCTTCCGTTGACCCTGATGAAGAGTCATTTTTATCAGGACAGGTAGTCAATCTTTTTGTAGATTGTATGATTCTGTAGCTAACTGTTGCCTAATATTCTCTTGTTCTCATTTTCATTGAGTCAGCTCAAATTAGCTGAAGAATCACGCAGAAGTTCTTATCAGAACTATGGCCATGAAAATAATGTTTAAGTAAAATTGGTGTGTAAATGCAACATTCCTTTCCCATTGCATTGGCTTAGCTACGTTTCCTCAACAACCCTTCCCCCCTGAGTATGTGTTTCGATTCGTATTGTTAGAAGCCATATATTCATATACTCATGAGCGAGTGTGCTGCCAATTCACGTGACATTGCCATAGTATTTGTCTTTATAGAATATCGAATAACAAAGTCAGAAAAGCTACCAGAGGTGTAACTTGATTGCCAAAATGCCTGGTTATGTATCAAATGTTGCGTATGTCACAAACATTCCCTGATATTTGTTTGTATAGTAACTCTTTCATCTTCATGAGAGTATGTACAATCCCCAAAGATCTGTATGTTACACTTTAAGTGGGTATTTGTATTTTCTGAGATAATTTCTTTTTTTAGAACTAATAGATTAAACCTCAATGGAAATTAATATTTTACGATAGCCCATCGTGTGCATTGATTACTACTCTGACTCTACTTTGTATGTCGTGTCATACCAGGATGATTACAGCCATGAAAATATGGCAGCGCCTGATTCTGTCTATTTTGGCGGATATAGAAGCATAAATAATGAAATCCGGTCGGACAGTTCTTTGGATAGGATGGGATTTGTTGATCGGCTCCGGACTTCTCCATTATATGGGTGCTCAGAAAGAGAGAGAAGATATGATGTTGTTCCTCCGCTTTATCAAAGAGTACTCTCCGCTCTCATTGTGGAAGATGAAATTGAAGAATCTGAAGACACTGGTTTTGGGAGAATGCGAAGCTCAATTCATGATTCACGCTTCCTTATTGGCGCTGACTGTAAACCTTTGGATAAGATAAGCCTCAGTGAGCCAATGTTTGGTACTCAAATTCCGAAAACTAATAACGCACACATCGTTTTTTCATGTAATGGAAATGCGAACTATGATAGAAGCCACAACGCTCAAGATCATTATGGTAATGGTGAGGTGCTGCAAAGAGACGACGGATATGTGCACTCTGAGGTTGAAGTGCTGGTTAGACTCTCAAGGTGTGATTACGTTCTACAAAGTCTGCAGGCGAATAATTGTGGCGTTTCTTCTTTTGAGTGCCAGTATGAGCAGATGTGTGTTGAAGAAAAGCTTGTACTTGAACTTCAGAGTGTTGGTCTGTACTTGGAAGCCGTGGTAATGTTCAGAATTTCATATTGAAGTTTCAAGTTGCTAATCTTAGATAGTATTGTCTTATATCCTAATTTGTGAAAATGGTAAGTTGAACATTTCAGAAGTAGCAACTCATACCTACACACATGTTTGATTTCCACTTGATTCATCTTTAGTAAGCTGCTCATGTCAATTTTTCGTTCTTGCTTTGCTGATTGGTTGCCTAAATATAGCCTGCTTTGAACGACAACGAAGATGAGGTGATGAATGAGGAAATTGTTCAATTGGAGAAGAAACTTCATGAACAGGTTATTTTGTGTACTGTTTTTATGTTCTTTCCTAATTATTTTTTTTTTCCTGAACATGACCATCGTGTACACTTCTGATGCTTGAGTTAGTGCGTCCTTCTGTTGTTCATAGTCTTACTAACCTGTCTACTGTCTACGGTATCTTCGTGCAAATTGCAATTGACGACTCTGTATTTTTTATCTCATGCTTACTTCCAGATGAGAAAGAAGAAGTCTTGCTTGGATACTTTATATGAGGCTGTTCAAGAAGGCAAGAAAATTGGAAGAAGGTAAAATACATGTTTGATTCTTTTACTATCAGAATTTAGGCATTGTCTGAGTCATGGCAAGAATGTTGTTTTTAACTACTTAAATGATAAATTTTATTGCTTCCTCAGGGACCCTGAGCAGATTGCCATGGACAAACTTGTTGAGTTGGCATACAAGAAACTTTTGGTTAGTTTGATCTGAACTTGATCATTATTACATGGAACTTCTATTTCTTTAAGAAGTACAAGCATGTGCATTCATATTTGCTTTGCTTTCATAGACATTTCTTGAAAAGGTCGATGTATATGAACGCATGCCATAGAAAAAAGTGTTACTAATGTGATAAATTTATTGTTCCCCTTTTTTCTGGTTACAATTGTTGAGACAGATAAAATAAACTTCTGAATTTACAAACAACCAAAATGTGATAAAATTATTGTTGCTCAATTTTTAGGTTTAGATAAAATGCAATTTTAAGCAAATCTGAATTGCTTGGTGCTATTGATTGAGTATCTACAGAGCTGCAATCAAGAAATTACTTTTTAAGAATACTAGGGGCACCGTAGTAAAGTAATGCTGCCTCGGTAACCTCTATTTTATAGCAGAGGAGGGAATTTAAACTTCTTACTATCTAAGTCAGTTCTCTTTTATATGTTTCAAATTTCTATTAGAAGTACTATACGAGTTGCTGAATCTGGTTGGTCCAGTAAATTCAAGCTACTGTCAGATTTGAACCATGAAAATTATTCTTGCAATAATTGTCAGGCAACTAAAAGAAGCTTTGCTTCTAAACATGGGATAGCTAAGGTGTCGAAACAAGTTGCTTTGGCATTTGCAAAGAGGACACTCGCAAGATGTCGAAAATTCGAGATGGATTCAAGAGCAAGCTGTTTTTCAGATCCTGCACTCCGGGATATCATTTTCGCCGCACCACCTCGTTTTGATGACACAGAGATGCTTGCTTGTGCTGGTCAGATACCTGCTAATGGTTAGCACTTGAATCTACTGATAATTGCATGCATACTTTTCAAGTAAATTTGGTACTTTTAAAATAAAAAAACACAAAACTTGGAAAAATTATTTTAACAAATGTAATTTGTTCCAAAAAAGTTGCTGACTTTGATTTAAAATTGCGAATGTTTGTTTACGACTCATCACACAAAATATATTTATGCGAGACCGTCTCACACCATTTCCCCTATAATTCTCTGTAGATGGTAGCTTGGTAGATGCATTTGATCAGGCTTTCGCGAAAAAGGGGCCAATATCAAATAGAGCAAAGAGGAAGGAGCTATTGCTTGATGATGTTGGCGGGGCTGTTTTCCGAGCCTCATCTGCTATGGGCATCTCTGATGGGGCAAAAGGAAAGAGAAGCGAGCGGGACCCACCCAAGACTGGACGGCTTTCAATGGGCTGCTATAATAAGGGCGAAAGCAAAGCTAAATCTAATAAGCCAAAGAAAACTGCTCAGTTGCCGACTGGTGATAAATTCAGTTTGAGCGAGTCGGGAAATAGTAGTGGCAGTAAGAGAAAGGACGTTCGTTTTATTTCTTCTGGTGGTTTGCCTCCACCAGCTTCATCGAGTGTTGTGAAAGAATCCTCGGAGTTTGGTAATCTGCTGCCGAATGATATTGATGGTATTGACGATTTGGGAGTGGATTCGGAGATTGGGGAGCCACAGGATCTAAATTCGTGGTTTAACTTTGATGTGGACGGAATACAGGACAATGATTTAGTCGGGCTCGAAATACCCATGGATGACCTGGCGGAACTCAACATGTTCTGATGATGCATGCCGCAGCTTGTACTGTACAGCTTGTCGATTTAGTAAACTGGCTATACAATTTTTTTTTTTTTTTAATGGTCTAGATATGGAGGATGTGTTGGATTTGCTCTACCTTACAATATATTATAGGCTTGGCAAGAATTGCTGCTGTTATTATGCATTGTTTATTGTACTCTGGAAATATTGTTTTTTAGAAGTTTCTTGTAGTTTAATGTATGTTTAAGTTTGACAGTTGTTCGTTATGTATACTACTCCATCTTTATTGGATTCATGAATGGCCAAGATTAATTTGGCGGGTTATTTCAAATTGAATTTCTCATCCACTACTGGCTGAATCTGTGCTTGGTTTATTTTTCTTAGTTTATTTACTTAGAGCATTTTACCTATTAAGCTTCATAAACCTCCTCTTTCAATTTTTGATGTGCTACGTCATTTGAAATCCCAGTATTACTCATACACCGACCGACGAATCATTCATAAATCTTAATAAACTTAATTTTTTATGGGTTGTACATGTTTTCACTTAATTTTAAACAATATTATGTTTTTATATTGTTATTTATAATTTAAAATATTTTTACAGCAAAAATACAATACATAAAAAAATTACAAAACTATGTTGAGGTAGAAATTAAGATTTCTGTCATTCATTAGACAAACGATAAATTTCCTTTTAATATATTGTAAGTAAAAGACACAGGAGGTGCCGCCCGACTGCCTCCGATTTGCATGAATCACCTGAAAAAATCGGCTACATGGCACGTAGGTGAGCTTAGACGCTCCTTGGCGGGCTCGACAGCTGGGCGGCGCTTAGGCAGGCCTAGGCGCTCCTAAGCGGGTTTGGCGGCAGTTTTTAAGTTTTTTTAAAAAAAAATACTATTATATTGTTTTATTATCATGTTTCCTTTATAATATATTATTATTTGAACTTAGGTGTGTGGATTTATATAAGTTTTGATGATTTTATTTTGTAGGTAGTAAAAATAAATAAATAAAAAATATTTAATCTTAATTTCTAGGCTCCATGTAAGTGGTGTCTAGGCCCTGCCTAAGTGCTCTAAGCGCTAGTCGAGCGCCTAGCGACTTCTAGAACACTGGTCGCGACTAGTGTTATCGATAAAACAAATAAGAGAAATTTGAGTTGATGCATAATGGCTTTACTGTTTAGGCATAATAGTATCCAATTGCATTGTATTAAGGGCTCTCAAGAGCGTTCCCCAAGGTAAATGTCTTATATTTGTTTTCCCACGATTAAAAGGTGTACCAATTTATTTTCTGAACTATATAATACGTATATTGCATACATAAATTTAGTGCTAGAGTATACAAGACTAAAGAACTTGAAAATACAGCTTTGCTTGGAAAAAAAAAAAAAAAAAATTACTTGTTCTGCTCAACAAAATATACCAGTTCATGCTTGAAGAGTATTCTCTTAAACTATCAACAAAATATATCAGTTCATGCTTGAATAATTCTGAAATCGATCATTATTTCTGGCCAAACCTAGCTCTCATATCTCGTAATACCATAAAACTCGGTTACTCAAAAGTTCTGATACAAGGACAACAGTTCTCTGTTTCACACTAATCAGCCGGAGCACAAGGTTTTCTTGATATAATGCAAACACTAGCTGTAGAATGCCAAAATCGAAGAAGATCATGTACTGTAACGAACTGAAAGCTTGTGTTTGGAAGATGGAGACCTATATTACACTCCTTTTCATCAAATTCGATCCCTTTTAGTGTTGCAATTTGATTCGTGATGGAGGTCAAGGGATGGCCTCTGGCAATGGAAACCTGTAGCAAGAAAGTGAATGCGTCTCAGTTCATTGATAGGAAATAGCGTCTAAATATATATGTTCTACTAAACAAAGGATGAGCTAATTATCAAATATTTTCTGAATAGTTACAAACCTATGGTTATGAGATTACAAAAAAGGAATAGTAATCCAAATTCAATATATTTGATTAAGTTTTGAGATGACCTAACATATGCTCCTTGGGGTTTGGCTCTAGATGCAAGTTTTAATAGGCTAGCTGCAAAATATTATATGGACGTAAATGGTTTTCCAAAATGTTATTTTAAAGTATGAACATTGAACGGGAAATAAAAAGGTTTGATTTCTAAACCGCCTTCTTTACATATATTTGAACCGGTGAGATAACTAAAAACCTCAAGACATTATTTGTATTTCTAAACTGTGTTTGGTAAGTCGATCAAATGTCTGATATAAACTTCGTAACTAACTTATCAATACATGAGTTAGAATATAAGATCAGCACAACATACAAAGTCAACTAAGGATATGAAAAAAGAGATGGAGTAAGGTGAAGACTAACCGAATGATTTGGTCCCAATTCCAGAAGCCAAAATTTCCAATCTTTTAACTCTTTCCCACCAATTTTGACAGATATATTATCCCAATTTTCATGATGAAATTCAACACTGTCCAATTTATACCCTACACCAGAGCCGATGGCCTTCACAAAAGCTTCCTTCAGGCACCAATATCTGCATGAAATTTTCTTTACACACAAAATTGACCTCTAAATTCATTTATTAAAATTTCTTAAACGTCAAATCTGTAGGATATTCTATATAAACTGATTTAATTTAATCAAGTTAGACATGAGATTTCTTTTATCTATTTGATTTATAATATCTGTAATAATGTCTCCCGTGTGGGAAAAAAAATATATAATACAGTATATGTCAAGATCAGCATGTTGTAATAAAGGAACCTATGATCTAAGAGACACATGCAAGTCAAGATAGTAAAAATAAAAAATGCAAAATGAATGGCATGAACAATTAACATACTTGTAAAATACTTCTACCATCTCATCAGAGGAGCCAGCTTTAAATATATGACACCATTCTGAACTAGAGAAGTACGGCAAGAAACTATTTATGAACTCGCCAGCCGAATCATTTACAGGGATGAAATGAGAGACTATATCCAGCCCCACAAGACATATAGGTTCAGATGCTATTGCAACATAATCACCATGATGGGATACATTGTAATTGAAATTCTTAAATCTCAGCTTCATGTTATCTGACACCTGGTACAAGAAGACAAAAATACAGATATCAGGTTCCCAGCAGTGGTCAAGGATTCAACTTGATGTCTTTCTAATATAACAGGAAGTAATACATACAAATACCAATGGGTCCAGTTCTTTACATCAACATCAATACTAGTTCATAGAATCCGCTCCACTAGATTAATGTCATTCTTTCATTTTCCTTCTGAAAATTCTAGGTCAGAATGAAAGTGCCAGATATAAAAAGAGAAGAAGCTAGTCTTCATAGTATGTTACTTAATAAACACATAGGATAGTGCATTTTGATGCAGAATTCCATCAGAATATCCCTGTGCCCTAAGAATATAGAGCCATGAGATCTTTATTCTAAAAGGAATTGAAGTAGTATTGTTATGCAATAGTTAGCAAAAATGGTTGATTATTCTCCCTTCATGATTATGATCAGGATATTCCTTCTCTGGTATTAAAAGTTTACGACCACTCTATTAATTTAATTCTCATTCGACTTGGTTGTGGTATCGACTTGATATATAGACTTATTAGATTGAAGAAATTATCACATTTCTCTACTTCCACCACAACAATTATGCTACTTCCAACAATCTGATACTTTTTTACCTTCAGAAATACAATACACCACCCAATAATTCTATATGTCGATTGTCTTAAGTACAACGTAACCATATTTGTTAGAAATGAATTAAAAACAATCTTTCTGGACTCTGGAGCATACACACCCAGAAACTACAAAATACTACTCCACAAAAAGGTATACGTATAGAGCAGACACCTCCTACAATTCATCTCACTGTTTGCCTTTGCTATAACTATGTTGTAAACATGTAATGGCTACATTCACCATTTCTTTCTTCTTTTATTTAGAAGCAGCTTCATTGTGAAGTTACTGCATTTCATGCCCTATATAGTTTGACAGTGACTCAGAAACCTTGCTAACTGCGTTTTAGGTTAAATCCTAATTTCATCCACTTTGATTCATGATCCAAGCAACTACAATAAAATTTTATTCTATACGAACAGGGAATTATTTTCTTTCTCCAACACAAATCCACAACTGTCCTAGTCTTATAGATAATCCATAAGATTCCATTTTCTTACTCCTCAGGTATCGTCTTATTGCTTTTTTCTCAACCGATTTTTAATATTATTACTTTGTGGACTAGCTATGGTTAACACATTCAGAGTGGCTCAAATTTTTTTATTTTTTATTTTTTGACAGCACCTTCCTTTTCTTGTTTTGCAGGGGACGATTCAACATCACATACCCATTAAACAAACCTTAACAAACCCCAACATAAATTTGAAGCGTAAAAAAACAAAGAAAAGAGGAAAAAAAAAGGACGTTAATTCAGAATGTAGACATACCAAAAAGGGTTTGCCCTCAGGAGTTCGCCGGATTGTGATGTCATGAATTGGAATCCCCAAGACTTTGTGCACCAGCGCATACTGCAGCAGCCGACTTACAAGGGCTCGTATTCGATCCTCCAATTTCACAAACCTAATTATATCAAATTACTCAAATTCATTCTAAGACCATTTTGGGAAATATATATAAATCTTCTCTCGCTGTGCTTCCGAGCGAACAAATTTGTAGATTTACACAGCTAAAACACGAGGAGCAAACTCTCCAGGTCGTAGTAAACTAATCAGAAAGAAGAAAAGAAAAGGAAAAAAAAAAATGAACCTGGTAATGGAGGAATGTTCATGGTCGGGGAGAACAGACATGGCAGCGGAGAAATGATGCGAAGAAGGTTTCCAGTTAGATATGTTAACAGCCCACCTCTGTACACCTTTTTCCATTTTCACGTCTTTGAATGTGCTGTAGCATTAGTGGCAGGTCACCCCAACAGGTATCGAGGGGCCTGCTGTGGGCACTTACACAGCAGGCTCTGCCGACTCTTGAATGAAGTGTTTTTCTATCCAACGTTTGTTAATTTCAATAAAACACAAATATACTTGCTACTAGTAAATCTTCATTCCATTTTCCCGAGTTCTCCAAGACGTGCCGTTCAAACATAAGAGGTGTGATCGGATTTCAAATGGAAATTTAAAAAGTTTTTCTCTCTCTAAACCCCAAATCCCTTTTCCCTTTTTCAGGTAAAATCTAATTTGAAGTCTCCAACGTGCCTCTCCGCTACCGGCGGCTCTCCTCCCTTCGGTGAAAGTCAAGGTCCGAGGTGGTGTCAGCGCGGTCCGCCACTCCGAGGTTCATTGCTCCAATCCGCACGCACGCGCGAGATCGAGGATCTCGCACGAAGGCGAGACGCACGCGGACAGGCCTGGGCCAAATAGCTCGAATGTGCCTAGCGATCATAGGCCCGATGTTTGTCTCATTTTTGTTGCGTTTTTCGTTGTCATTTTGTTTTTCTTTTTTCCCATATTAGGTCTTTTCTTTCGTTTTTAGTTCGTTTTGTATATTATTGCGTGTTTTCCTCTATCTTGATTTTTTTTGTGTTTTTTCGATTTTTCTTTGTTTATGGTGTGTAGGTCGGAAGTCTCGGGAGGACCGAATTTCAGGCAAAAATTAGTCGGGCAAGCGTATTAGATAGAGGAGTTTGTTGGCAACGCACAGGAAAAAGTGGAATCGAATTCCGATACCAGACGAGCCCGAACGACTCCAAAATGTGAAGTAGTGCGAGCTGTCCAGGCCCCGCGCGCCCGCCGCGCCGCGGAGCCCCCATCCACCACGCCGCGCCCCTGCCACGACCTGGACAGAACGCTTTGCACACGCGTTACACACTCCCGCGCCGCGGACAAGTGCCCTGTCGCGCCTTCTTCACGCCATGGCCGACTAGTCTTATAAATATGTGTACGGGAACTCGTTTTATTCATTCTCTCCCCTTCTGGGAGACGAACCCTAGGCCCGAGATAAAACACGAAACTCTTTTCTTCTCCTCTCTTTCTCCTTCTTTCTTCATTTTTTTTCCTTTCTTCACCCTTATTTTCCATTTTTCTTCTTCTTTTTCTTAGTTAGGGATTAAGCTTGTAATTCGAATTCAACATTTGAACTTGAATTGATTGTAAGTATTTCTTTCTCTTGTTTAATTCATGAATAATGATTGACTTGAGTAGAATGATTATGTTTGTTGAATTTGATTTACGTAGCTAAATCTGATTGCTAGGGATAGGGGATGATTATTCTTGTTTAACGTGCATTTGTCGGGCTTGATTTGTTGTTGCTTTTGTGAGTTAAATCGCTTAGAGATTGATGAAATTATGCTTGATAGTTTGATGTAATCGAAGGGTGACACTTCGATCTTGCAATTGGTAACAATTGGATATTGAGTTGTCGAGTTTGGCTTTGTTGATTTCAATGATTAGTTGATTAAACACCTTCTAATTAAATTAGAGACTTTCTGAACCGAAAGGGGCGAAGTCGTAGACCTAGGCTTGCATGAGATAGATTATTTCGTAACTGATTAATTTATGGGTTGAGATTGAAATACGTGCTTGTCGATGACCCGTCCCTTGTTACGAAAAGTTATTGGGATTGGGATAATTGACTTGTGTTGTATGCCCGAGCTTGTTCGTCTATGTTCAATCCCTTGTTACGAAGACTTATTGGGAGCGAACCTCTAGATGTTTAAGCGAGAGTGTTAATCTTGAACCGAATGATTAATTGTCCGGCTTTGCTAGAACTTGAATTAGTTATCCACCGATTTCCTAGTTTCTCCATCTTTGTTTCGTTTATATTTTAGGTAGATTATTGTTTTATTTTATTTCTTAGTTAATAATTTATCCAAACTGCTATCTGATTAGAGTGTTTAGGATTTATTTTCTTTTTCTGTGTAATCGATACCAAAGCTAAATCCGAACCGTCTTCCTCGTGAGATCGATCCAGAGAATGAAACTTTCGATTCGATACTCGATAAAAATAACAATTTGTGCTACAACACCCGATAAGCATGGGCGCTTGCAGCGGGCCGAGGATCGTTCAACATGACTGCGGATCTGGCTTTTGGGAAGACTCTTAGAAAGAAATAAGTGGAATTTATTCGGAGGGGAGACTTGCACAGGCCCTGGGAATTTATTTGGAGGCAGCGACATTCACACGTCAAATTGAGAGCCGCCAGACATACGCAAAAACAGAGAAGCATCCACCAAGGCAGAGGGAAAATAATTATTTGCACGCATTAGAGACGCGAGAACAGAACCTGAAGAAGAGGAATCCTAGGGAGACCGCACTCGCACTCTCACACACACACACGCACGCGAGGAGAATAACTATATTCTTCTATTTTTATTTTTATTTATTATGTTAGAGTTAATTTTATTTCTAGTTCCGGGATGTCGAACCCTATGTACTTGGTTATGTTTAAGTAATTATAGTGATTGATTATTTTGCCATTACCATGAAATTTGTGCTATTTTGTTTGATTAATCATGTGTGATTTTATTTAGATTAATCACCTATATAGAATTTTTTCATGTCTAATGCTAGAACTGGATTTGCAATTCGTAATTATTGTTGAGTTTAATTCGTAAGTAGCAACTGAAAGCTGGTAACTGTCGGGGATAACACAACCTATTTAAACGAACCGCGTGGTTGTGATTACTACTTAGACTAGTCTATTTTTCTTGATCTTAAAGCCACTATTGCCTCAAAGCTAGATAGCATGATCTAGACTGTCCAATAAGTCATGTTTAGCCGAAAAACGTTTCTCGACTAAATAAACAATAAGGAAAAATTCGGATAACAGAGTGTGTTGCTATCTAGGGCTAGTAATTTCAGAAGATAATGAAACTTGATATCACAATTAGTTAGACTAGTTGAGCGATGGAGTAGACGGAACCGTGAATTAGAAATTTCTCTTAATTTATTTAATTTTATTTTTATTTTCTTGTTTAAATTTTATTTATTTCCAATGTGTTTTGGTTTGGAATAGTCTATGGATTTCGAATACTCTTCTATTCTTTATTTCCAATGTGTTTTGGTTTTACATCATTTATCTTTTCATTTCTTAAGCCTTGATTAAAAAATAGAAATTATTATATTTTAAGCTTAAAAACGTTAATATTTAATAGCTACGTAGTTCATAAAATATATAAAAATATATCACTCATGATAGTCTATAATATTTAAATAAAACTAGTGTTGATAGGGTGCAATACAAAATATATTTTTATTTAAATATTACAAAATTATTTCAGACAATATGAAATTATATTCTCTACAATATTCTATTCAGTAATAATATGATATTTATTTATTTACTATTATTGTTTATTTCTATATATATATATATATATATATTTAGGGTTTGACTATTTAATATGTAAATTCTATTATTTATAAGTTTATAAAAATTATAAATGTATAAGATTATATGATATTTTCATACAAATTACTTGTATGTACTTATACAATTGTCGTTTTTCATAGTATTATAATTTTTTCAACTATTCATAATTTGCACATTGTTTGATAATTGACCAACGTTTAACCAATAATATTTATTTTCCTCTATAATTATTAAGTACATTAAGTGTTAAAAACTATGATAAATAAATTTTAATTTTTAGTAACTTTAATCCTTATGCAACACACAAAGTTTTTATTGTTAAATATTTTATTTTTATGTTTTCATTTTTTATTTATATTTATTTCTTTAATTGATTTTTTCAACATATATAATGAGTTACATAGTATCTATTCGAATATTTAGATATATTATATATTTCCATTATTACCAAGTGCTATAACTTAAATTATTATACATTGCTTTTTTGTTAACTTATTTTTCATTTATAAAATAGTATATAAGAAAAAAATATATATATTTAAAACTTGAATAGTTTTTTAATGTACATAGATACTTCTAAGGTGAAATTTATATTTCTGAATTGTACTCGATCATAAGATTTTATTTTTATTAGTATATTATTTAAATTTTCAATAGTATTATCATTGCATTTGATATATTCAATGGGGATATACTTTTTTATAGTTAAATTGACTGTATTTTATAAACTTTTTATTAATATTTTAAATTATTTATTAAGTTATTATGATTTAAACATAGTTATTCTGATTATTTTATTAAATATTTTAAGTACTTCTATATATTGAATATAATTAATTAAATTAATACCCATAACCATAAATGATAATATATTTAATTAAATAAATTTCCATAATAATTTTTTAATTGTGTCAATAAGTTATTATTAAAATATATAAGATCTTATGAAAATATATCTAATAAATTTCAGCCAATTTGTAGTTAATGAGTAATAGTCATTGAGTGTATAAAAATTAATTATGTTTTTCATGCATAAGATTTACTAATAAATAAATATTAATTAAATATCGAATATAGACAAAAAAAAAAAAATCGCCCAGAATTGGTCCATTATATACATATAGATATAGATATATATAGATATAGATTATTGATATATTAAATCGGCTCAACCAACCAATAAACTATTAAACTTGTAACTAATACGAATCCTGTGCGATACAAGGGTAAGAGATATTCATTAGTATTTATAAATCAAAAATAATTATTAGATAATATTTATAAATTAAAAATATTGAATCAATATGTAATACATTTACCTATATTAATTTATTGAAAATGTTATATGGATTTTATATCGTGCAAAATTACATAAAACATGTTAATTTAATTAGTATACAACTCGTGTGGTGCACGTAACTGATAATAAATTACATTATATTTATTTCAAAATAAGTGACATTTTAAAATATTTATTCCGAAATTCGATTGGACAACAATGTGATTCCATAAAATAATTTTCTTTGGTAAAATTTTATCATACATTTAAAAATCTAATAAGTACAATTATAAAAATTATAGTGTTCATTAATTAAAATGAATTTAATTTTGTATAAACTATCAAAATAAAAAAATTTAAGTTGTTGAGTAATTTATTAAACTATAATTAGTTGACTATTTCATTTATGCCTAAGTTAATATTGACATGTAAGTTATGAATAATTATTTATAACTTTTAAATTTAAAACCCAAATTTGAACTATACGATAAATTTCCTTATATATATATATATATATATAGTTATATAACTTTTACAATATATATATATATATAGGGTCGCGCTCCAGCGAGAATGATTCTCAATGAAAGAAATAAGAATACGTCGTAGTCGTTAGATCGGCTAATTCAACCATAAAAAAAAACATATATTTTTACACTCATTAAGGGTATTTTTGATATTTTGTTTATAAAAACGTGGGTCCACACCCAATACCCATTCACACACATCCAATACCACATTGCCACGTGGCCACTATCACAACCCACACCATTCTTTTTCTCACACACGCGCACACACATTAGATACACAAATTAGAATTCACGCACACAACTTCACGCACTGGTGGTGCCGCCACCAACCACTGTCGGCACGTCAGTCACCGCCGCCGCTCGGCCATTGCTACCGCCGGCAAATGTCACCATTTTTTTCCCTCGAGCCCTCTGATATCTTGGGGGAAGAAGATGGTGAAGACACGGCTGGGCAAAGACGAGAGTAAAGTCGACGGCATTGGTAAGGGAGATGACCTCCAACACCGTGGGCGGCGGCGATTGGGGCCAGTGCGGGTCGACGGCGGCGATTGGGGCAGTCACAACAATTCCCCTTTTTTTTTTTGTTTAACTGAAAGGCAACGGTTGTCCGTCGGCTGGCACCGGAGGGAGGAGAAAGGCTGATTCCGATTATGTGCAGTGGAGAAGAAAAATGTGAAGGAATAATTGATTTTTGTATCTAGGGACCTTCTTTGAGAATTTGTTAAGTAGTAGGGACTTGATTGCAAATTTAAATATTTTAATATAATTCAATTCAGTCCCTAGATTTAGATGTGGCCAGTCAACGGGTCCGGGGTCGGCCCGGTCCGCTTGGACCAGGCCCGGGACCAAACTGGACGAAGGCACGGTCCAGGACCGGTTCTGAGCACGGTCCCGCCGGTTCGTAGACCCGCCGATTTTCCGCTGGTTCGGTCCGGTTCCGGCAGTTCGCGGGTCTTTTTTTTTAAAAAAATAAAAAATAGAATGAGATGTATGGTGTTAATAACGAGGACATGTCCAAGTAATTGCACAAACATGTTTCTAACATTCTAGAACCCGTAAACCCACTCAGAATCCTTGTTTTTGGAAAGCCACTGAGGAGGAGGTGAGGGCATCATGTTGGGACCAGAGTACCTGACGATCATCGGATTACCGTCGAGTCCCAAGATGACACCCCC